CCAGGCTGCCGGGCCGCTGCCTGCAGGAATTTACAATCCGGCGCTGGGGGAGCGGGCCCGGTCTCCATGGAGACGGCTTCCCCGGGAGCAGGGAGGTCAGGCGCAGACCGCGCACAATCAATGGATCAATGCAAGCCCCACTCGGCTCCAGACCAGACAGCACCGAGCTCCGGCTCGTCCGCCCCGAGAGCAGGGGAGCGAGGGTGCGAGGGGCGCAGGTTTGCACGCGCACCTCCGCCAGGAGACAAAGAGGGCGCGAGGTGCCGGGGAGGCTGCGGCAGAGGTGGACACACGGGCGTGCCCACGACGCAGCCCGACACGGGGGACACAGCCGTTTAGCACTTCGAAGCAGCTGGGCCCAACCGGGCCAAATCGCGTATTCCAACTCTTTCTCACCCCCGTCTCGCCCCATCCTCTGGACTCCATCCCATCCCTAGACTATCCACTTGAGGACTAAGGAGAGCGGCCTCTCTTGCTAAATCTGATACCTCCAGGGCAGTGAGGGCTTTGGAGGTAAATCCACTGAGCTGTCCTACCCAGAGAGTCACGCGCACGGGTACACACTCTCCTGAAAAGCTAACCCTCAGAACCGTGCCGTTTGTAAAGCACGAAGACACAAGCAAGGCACAGGCACATTAGGCCAAGCTTGCACCCACAGCTTCAAGAGGTGGGTCTGACCCTTACTTCATCCCTCCACCTCCAGGGGATGTTCAAACTAGGGGCAAACTGTTGGAGGAGCAGTGTCCCCCCAACCTCCGTCACTGCCTCCTGACCCCTCCTATGCCCTCTTGCCTTGCACCATGGGGAAAGAACAAAGATCATGTGAGAGGCGCGATGGCTTCCTTGGGGTGTGGGGCTGTGATCAGCTGACCACACCAGGTCCCCGCAGATACTCACACTTAGAGACAGTCTTCTGCCGGGCAGAGGCAGAACCCAGATTGCCTCCGAGGTACCCAGGATGAGAGAGCAATGCCAAGATCTCCCTAAAGATGACATCAGCAGTTGGCATCAGCTGGGGTCAGGGGTGGCTTTGTCAGCAGCCTCCATACCACCTAGGGGAAAGAGCTGAGCACTTCTTCTTTTTCTAGGGATTGAGTGGGAAAGTAGGAGGCTGGAAACAGACTCCAGCTTTGGGTTTCCTGTTCTGGCTCTATGGTGGGATGAAGGTTACTCCCTGGCCAGTACCCTCTGAACAGGCCTTGGTTTCCTCATCTGGAGAACAAGGGGGAGGCTTCACTTGGGGGTGGAATGGGGCAGGAGGAAGCAGGAGGAGGTCTTGAGAGCCCTTAGGAGGTGTGAGAGGTGACCATGAGGATGTGAGCACACAGGTCATGGGACGGCGTGGAGGCCACAGCAAGGTTGGGTCGGACAAGCCCTGAGGTCCCTTCCAGCCCTGTCGCTCCAAGACTCCCACCTTCTCATTCCATTGGCAAACCCCTCCTCTCGCAGCGGCTTTGCCTGCTGCCACCAATTATGTGCAGGGCTGGAGGACAAGTGCAAACTTGCCAACCTTTTAGCCCCAAACAAGAGAGTAGTTTAAAAAAAGAAGGAATTGGAAGTTGCTGGAGAGTGCTGTGATCTACACGGGGGGTGGGGGGCTGCGGAGGCCCCCTTCTGCCTGGCTTTGCTTGGCCACTGCCACGGGATCCCTGGACGCAGGTGCTCCAGCCCACCCTCCCCCACAGCCATGGTGGGCATGGGGGGTTGCATGGGGTCCCCTCAGTGTGAAGCTTGCCCTGGCTTTCAGGGAAGGAGGCTCAGGTGAGCTCCCCACACAATCTACCGCACCAGGAAGGCTGGGTGTCTTTTACCCTATTTTCCTTTTGCCTCATACCATCATTTTTCCTGGGGTCATTTCCTCTGCTCCTCTGAGACCAGGTAAGCTCCTCCCCACATCTGGCCTCTGCTCCGCTCTGTACCCCACTGGGCACTCACTGGTTCCAGCCACGCGGCAGATTCCGTAGGGGTAGAAGCAGGGACGATATCACCGAGGCCCTGTGTATTGGGGCACTGGCCACACTGTCCTCTGCCTCATCCACTTCTGCAGGGACTCACACCTGGACAGTAAATCAGGAAGAAGCAGTGGCCAATGACTTCTAACCAGCAGGGTCAGAGTGTCCCGGGACTGTGGGCTTCCCACAGTCACCTCTCAGGCTACAATTTGCTTTGAGGCTTTGCTTCCTTTAAGAACGCTTGTGCTATTCATTTCTTTCAAATTTCTCCTGAAAATTGGGAGAGAACCAGTGAGGCATAGCTGATCTACCTTGGTTCAGATCCTTTTAGGGCTTCCTCCACCAAGGATCCCACCACACTCAGGGACTTCCCCTACTCTGCCCTGTTTCCTTCCTTAAGTCTTTGCTTTCTGTGCTCCTCGTGTAAAAGGGGTCCAAATGGCCCCGCCTTGCCGGGCAACGCAGACCACTGGGAAGTAGGTGCAAGCCGGAACAGATGGCCCCAAGGTCAACGTCAGGCCTCGCCATCTCCCAGCCATCTGTCTCTTCCCGAAGTTACCTCACCTCTCTGAGTCTGAGCTCTCTCATCTGGAAAATGGTGGCGGCCATAAGACTTCAAAGTGTGCATCAGTGTCTCACCCCACAGGCTGCAGAGCTAATCCAACGTGAGGGTCGAATCTCAGCTCGGTTACTCTCTACCTGTGTGACTTCCGGCACATTTCTCAGTCTTAGAGGACGCCGTCTTCTCACCTGCAAGAGGGGTTAACACCTCACTGGGCTGTGGCATTAAGTGAGGTGATGTAAGGGAAGCCCCCAGCACAGAGTCGGTGCACAGTCGGGGGAGGTGGCTGTTCGTATTTCCACGACTTCTCCGAGGGAACAAGGGCCGCGGTGTTTGATGGTCAAGGCGTAGCAGTGCCCGGGAAGAAGCAGCCTTGGCCCAGGCCACGCTCTGACGCTGCTGGGTGTCAGGGCAGCCGACGTGGTGATTCTCATCATCCCTAACAGGTTCCTGTCCGTCACACATCCTCACCAGGAAGGTCGCAAAGATCCATTCATTCCAGCAGGCAGCCTCTGTCAGCAGTGCTCCCACAGTACGAGTGAGAAGGAGGCTCACCTGCCGGGTGGGCAGCTCCGGAGTCTCTCCTGTGCTTCACGCACATCTTACTACTCTGCCTTGAGAAGGCGCAGATACTCCGAGACACAGCTGGGGCCTGGAGCTGCCATTAACCGGGGGCTTTTACTGGACTGGGCACCGAACCAGCCCTCCAGCAGGAATCCCGTTTTATTGATGGAAAAATTCAGGCTCAAGTAGGTGAACTTGCCTAGGATGGCAGAGTACAGAGGACGAAGCCAAGACACAGGTGCAGGCCTGACTCTGAAGCTTGTGTACCTCCTTTCCTCTCTTTCCTGCCTCCTCGGAATCCACGCAGACCCAGCGCGCTCTTGCCATTCTCACAGCCCGCCGTCCTTTGGGGCAGGATGAGAGTCACTTCCTTTGCTCTGGAGGGCAAGCAGCAGCCAATCTGCAGAAGGCGTCAGCCGCCACCTGTGCCGCCCGTGGGTGGTCACGTGACTTGCCCCGAGGTCACGCGACACTCCGAAAAAGGAAGAGTAGAAGCAGGATCCGTGTCTCCCTGACTTCTGAGACCCGGATCAGCGCCCCTCGGACCTCAGACCCAGCAGGACCCTTGCAGTTCTCGCTCCCTCTTCCCCTTCCTGGGGCCTTGTCCAGCTGTCAGTGCTGCTGTTGAGCGGCAGGTGGTACCAGTCTAACTCACGCCATCCTGCATTCTCTAGAGGGCATAAAAGCAAGAGCAAATGTGCCTCCCCACTGGAGGCAATACACAAACCCCCACATGCCACGGGTCCCCACAGGTAGGCAAGGTTTGCGTGTGCAAACGCCCGAATGCAGAACAGCCCAAGGGCCAGAGAGAAAGTGCCGTCAGAAGCGAGAGGGCACAGAAACGGTCATGGATGAGGGGAAATCTGAGCCGAATCTGGGTGACTTTTAGAAATAAATGAGAAAGATAAAAACAAACAAAAAGCAGTGACCGGCAGATGAAGACAGAAAGATAGTCACACCATCACAGGAAGAGAAGAAAGGCGGAGGTGGTGTCTTTATCGGCTGGTGGACAGGTGGCTCTGGCCCGCCCCTGCCTGTCACTCTTCCAGCATGGCTCACAAGTCACTTTGCCAGAAGGGCGGAAGATGGAAGGAAGACTCTCCCGAAGTCTGCTCCAGCCATGGGATTCTAGGAGTCACTTGCTCCCGGGCCCTGACTCTGGCTTTTGCAGAGCAGTCCCGGGGCAGCCCTGACAGGACACGGGGAAGAGGTAACCTGGTCCCAGCTGCCCACTCCTGTGCCAGCCTCTCTCTTGGCTGCCTTGCCTGGCCCCTTACCTCCCACTTTCTCCTCCCTGCCCACCTCCATGCCTGAGTCACTTTGACACTTGCTTCCTGCCTGCTGCCATGAGGGACACAAATTTCCCACTTGCCCGTCAGTACCAACATCGATGTGCTTCTGAGGAGGAGCTGCCACCCCGGTCTTCACCTGCCCACCTCCCTCCCCTTCCCGGTGCTGTCTTCCCAGGCCCCTCTCACACCCCTCCCCAAGGCCCCTGGCAGCTTCCACGTCTCTGTAACCAGACTGCCTGCCTGTCTTGATCTGGCCTGAACTCTCTGTATCCTCCAAAACCTCTGAACATTTTTCTTTTCTTTCTTGGAGCTCTTTCTTTCCCCAAATCTCCTGCCAGCTCTCTGCCCACTGGACTTTTAAATACATCAGGACTGGGGATATCTAGCTTAGAAATCTTCATTTCTCACTCTCATGACCAAGGGTAGCCAGGGTGGTGGGGAAAATACTGGCCCAATGATCAGATTTTCCTAAGTTTACACGCCAGTCCCTTTACCTCTCTGACCTTCTTGCCAATGACTACAAATCTATGTCCCTAAGTTTGCAGATCTGTATCTTAGGTCCTTTCTCATTTTTTCCCCCCAACTATCCTGCATTTCTTCTGTTTATAGATGATTCCAAGGATGTTTTTCAGGACCTCAAGCTGAACTCATTGTTTCTCTGAACACTCTCCCTGACCTGTCCTCTTCCTGTGAAAGCTGTCTTGAAGTTAATGGTTCCACAGCACTCAGCAGCACCAGCTGCATTCCTGAATCTTTGACGACTCAGTGACACTTCTGAAAACAACTGCACATCGATCCCATGGCTCCAACCCCATTGCCGCTGTGTCTCACCATTCCCGAGCCTTTCTCTGCATGATATTTCATGTTTTGGACCTCATTTCTCCACACCCAAGCAGGCCTGGCACATGCCGTGCTCTTGTCATCTGGAAAACCACTACTACCTCTTCTGTGAAGTCATCTTACTGCCCCAGGGGACTTGGGGGCTAGTGGTCCTTGAACTCTATCCCAGTGATGGCCTTGGCCATGTTGTACTGTCATGGTC